GCAACGCCCCTGCTCTCATGGGATGAACATCCTAGTGGGAGAAGATGGGCAATAGATTAATTGCATAGTTAAAAATTAAAACACATAACTCATAAATTAAAATGTATTAAAAGTATACCACACACCAATTACTATAAATGACCTACAACAACATACAATTGGATTACTCTCACACACAAAAATGCTGAAAAAAAGATGCCAGACACAAGAGTATACACTGCATGATTCCTTTTATAGAAAGTACCAAAATGGAAAAAAACTCATCTATGCTGTTATAAGTCAGGAGAGCAGGTATTCTAGATAGCAGGGAAAAGGATAATAACTGAAAGGGAGCATAAGGGGGATTTCTGGGGGGCTGGTAATATTACATTTCTTGTGCTGGTCTAGTTTGTGAAAGTTTATTAAGCTGTAGACTTACATGTGTACTATTCTATGCATATAAATAGGAATCAATGAAAAATTAAAGTATATATATCAAAATTTACATATATGTCAGGTGGTGTAACTAAGAATGAAAATAAAACAGGAATAGGGACACAATGACAAAGTGTGAGAGTGCTTATTTTGAAGTTGGCCAGGAAGACCTCTCTGATTAGGTCATTTTTGAGCAATAACCTGATGAAGAGATTGCTAACCATGCTGCTCTGGGAAGAGTGAATAGCAAGTACAAAGGCCCTGAAGCGAAGAATGCTTTGCAGTATTAAGGAACTTCAAGGAGGCCAGTATGGCTGTAGTGGCTTGACAGAAAGAACGGTTGAAGATGTCAGAGTCAGATGGGTAGGGGAACACAGACCAAGTAGGAGCTTCGAGGCCATGTAGTCTAAAGCAATTAAGACTAGCCATTACACAGTTTTGAGCAGAGAAGTATGAGTACGAGAATCTGTCTTAACTTTAAAAAAAAAAATGTTTCTCATTGACTTTTTAGAGAGAGATAAAAACATCAATGAGAGAGAAACATAAATTGGCTGCCTCCTGCATGCCCCCTACTGGGGATCGAGCCTGTAACCTGGACATGTGCCCTGGGAATCAAACTGGGACCTCTCAGTCCACAGGACGATACTCAATCCACTGAACCACACCAGCCAGGTAGATATGTCTTAACTTTTTAACAGAAATCACTCTGGCTACTATATTGAAAATAGGTGAGACGTGGGCAGAAATAAGGGAACCACTTTGGAGGCTAATGCAGAGAACCAGAAGAATAGAAAAGTAGTCACATTCTAATAAAGAATAAAAAAGATGCCCTGGCTAATTTGGCTCAGCAGTTAGAATGTCGACCTACAGACCAAAGAGTCGAGGGTTTGATTCCTGGTCAAAGGCACATATCCGTGTTGCAGGTTCGATCCCTGGCCCTGGGGTAGTGTGGGAGGCACCCAATCAATGTGTCTCTCACATTGCTGGTTCTCTCTCTCTCCCTCCCTCCCTCCCTCCCTCCCTTCCACTCTTTCTAAAAAAGAAAATATTGCCCTGGCCAGTTTGGCTCAGCAGTTGAGCATTAGCCTGCAGACCAGAGAGTCCTAGGGGCACGTACCACAAAAAGGAGAGAGAGAGAGAAAAGAAAAGAAAGAATAAATATCCTCAGGTGAGGATTAACAACAAAAACATTTTTTCTTAATAAATAAAATAAAGAATAAAAAATATTTCCCAATGGATTAGATATGGGGCATGAGGTTATGACCCGAAAAATTAGACAAAGTAAACTGTCATTTACCAGGACAGGACAGACAGCAGGAAAAGTGGTGTGGCTTGTTGTTGTTGTTCTGGTAGTTAAGGGGAAGCAAGAGTTTTCTTTTGGACATTTTTAAGCTGTCTATTAGATATATAAATAGAAATGTCAAGTAGAGAGTTGAATACATAATTATCAAGGAGACCAGTGCCCAGTGAAGGCCGGCAAGTTCATTCATCCCAAAAGGCAGGTATGTGTACAGCTGCAAATAGCTCGGTAGATTTGGTGTAGGAGCATGTGAGAGTTCTCTTCTGATTGCTTCTATTTTCTCTAAAATAAAAAGCAAAGCCATCAATTGAGATAGTGGAGAGGAAAGAGTACTGCTGGAAGCTTGCAGGAAATTACAAAAATATGATTATATCCATATAAATATTCATCTAGAAAAGGGAACTAACCAGAGAACTACAATAGGATTGATCGGCAGCTAGAGATACACATGAGGTTAATAGTCATACACTTAAAGTGAGATTGGTCAGCATGTGTGTTTTCCTCTAACCATGCTGGGCTGCTTAGAGGCAAGCAAGGAAAAGTGGAGAATTAGATTTAACCAGGGTTGGGTTTTTCTCGCAAGTATGATGTAAAGAGAGTGGGGAAAGGGAATTAACGAGCATACACAAATCAGTGATTATAAAAATGAAGCACAGAATCTAAACTGAGAAAAGAAAGAGCTTCTCAGAACAATGGAAAAGAAAAGTTAAGGTTTGGTTCCTATTTCAACATCTAATATCTAATATATACTTAGATTTGCCCAATGATAATGAGGCCCAGCACCATTCATACAGCTAGCAGAAAGGTCTACAGAACATATTTCCTTGGGTGTCAGGTAAGACTTGGCCTGAACTGACAAATGATAGATAATGGGTGGTCACACTATTTTTTTTTTTTTAATCCTCACGCAAGGACATTTTGCACTTATCTTCAGATAGAGCAGGAAGGAGGGACAGTAGAAGAGAGAGAGAGAGAGAAACATCTCCATGTGAAAGCGACCATCCACCCATACGACCCCAAAGAGGCAGGGACAAACTGCAACCAAGGTATGTGCCCTTAGCAGGAATCGAACTTGGGCCTCTCTGGTCCGCAGGCCAACAATCCAACCGCTGAGTTAAACTGGCCAGGGCGGTGGTCACACTATTAAAAACCAAATGAAGCCCTGGTTGGTATGGCTCATTTGGTTGAAGTGTTGACCGGTAACACCAAAAGGCCAAGGGTTTGATTCCTGGTCAGGGCACACACTCAGGTTTCAGGTTTGACTGCTGGGCAGGGTGCATACAAGGGGCAACTAATCGATGTTTCTCTCTCACATGGATGTTTCTCTCTCACATCAATGTTTCTCTCCCTCGCCCTTCCTCTCTCTCTAAAAAAGTCAATGAGCCCTGGCCGGTTTGGCTCAGTAGTTAGAGCGTCGGCCTGCAGTCCAGAGAGATTCGGGTTTGGTTCCTGCTAAGGGCATGTACATCGGTTGCAGTTTGTCCCTGGCCCTGGTTGGGTCATGCAGGTGGCAACCACTTGATGTGTCCCTTTCATGTTGATGTTTCTCTCTCTCTCCCTCCCACTCTAGCTGAACAAAAAGCAAAAAAAAAGTCCTTGGGTGAGGATTAAAAAAAAAAACAAAAAACTCAATGAAAACATATCCTCTGCTGAGGATTAAAAAAAAGTTAAAAAAACAAAAAACAGCCCTGGCCGGTTTTGCTCAGTGGTTAGCGTGTTGGCCTGCGGTCCAGAGAGACCTGGGTTTGGTTTCCACTAAGGGCATGTACCTCAGTTGCAGTTTGTCCCCAGCCCTGGTTGGGTCATGCGAGAGGCAGCCACTCGATGTGTCCCTTTCATGTTGATGTTTCTCTCTCTCTCTCCCTCCCACTCTAGCTGAACAAAAAATGAAAAAATGTCCTCGAGTGAGAATAAAAACAAAACAAAAACAAAAAAAACAAATGAAAAATATACATATTTCAGAAAGAAAAGAGTAATAAACAACAAAATTCTACAAAATACTTTTGTCCCAAATATATAATTCTGTAATCTCAATTATTATTATTAAAATTTTGAATGGTTGAAAACTTAAGAAAAATAAAGACAGAGGCCTCCTAAACAGTTATCTAACAAACTTCAACCTAACCAAACAGATCTACACATTAAACTTTTCAAACATTTGAAAATATGGTAAGGATGACAAAAAATTTTTCTCAAGTTGAATACATTTTCATAAGTGCTTTAACAATTACAATCATTCTAATGAATGCATGTTTTATGAAATATAGAGGGGGAAGAAGTGCATTTTAAAATACTTTAATAGGCGGTCAATGGGTGGAACATTTGTAATACTTTCAACAATAAAGATAATTTTTTTAAAAAACCTGAATAATACAGAAGACTAAATCACTCAGGAAGAGTAGAGTAGCATTAACCAATTCTGATGAGGCAGAGAAAAACAACTCTCCTGATCTTAAGGAGACCCCATGTCCCCCAAGACCTTACGGCAATACCTGAGTTATCAGTGGACATAACACACTATTGAGTACAGAGGTCTTACATGGTATCAATAAATTATCCAAAGGCATACAAGCAAATTAACACAAAATCCTACATTAGTTAGCTCAAGAAATTCTCAACCTCAGCACCAACGACATTTTGGACCAAATAATTATTTGCTGTGGGGCTTGTCCTGTGCATCATAGGATGTTTATCAGCATCTCTGGTCTCTGCCAATGGTACCACATTCCTACCCCTAGTTATGACTAAAAATGACCCCAACATTGCCAAATATCCCGAAGAGCAAAATTATCCCCTGGCTGAGAACCACTAACTTGGCTATAATGTGTTTAAGACCTTCACATCTCATTTACAGGCGGAAAACAAACCTATCTCAAATTTGTACAGCATTAGCTTCTCTACTGTGTCACTGATTAAGCCTTGAAAATAATTCAAATACCAGGAGCTGACCAAATTAAAAAAAAAAAACAAACTTATAAAAACATATAAGTTTGTCAAGGATAAAAAGCTACTATTTAGATAGGAAACCATTTCCTTGACAGAACAATGAGCTGTAGGCTTAGAGGCAATTTTATATCCTAAGAATAGTTAGTTAGCACTTGTAAAACATTAATTTACTGATGTGTAGATTTGAATCGAAGTGACTGCTTCAGAGGTAATATTCTGAACTTTTCTCCATAAGGTCTCTTTCCCCTTGGGTAATTAATGCAAGAGAAATTTTGCTTGAGTGTTCCTGGGTTTCCTATCTCCTACAACATGTGTCAAATTTCTCCAGGTGAATGCTTACCGGTAAGGGATTGGATAAGGAATGTTGCGGTGAGGATCGTGCAACTGGTGGAACACTTCTGCCAGGGCTGGTTCCTGGCCCGCTTCCCCCAGCAAACTGGCCAACAGGGAAAAATGGATATGAATAATTCAAAACAGTACTATGCTTCAGATAAGGAGAGTAAAAGATTAATACACAAACAGGTCTTAATTATATATGGCCCCTTTAAGTCAATACATCTTATTCTAGAAAGAAAATACCATGTAAGTAAATTTTTGCTGTTTCCCATGAGATTTTTAAGAAGGAGCTCCAGCAGAAATATACCAAGGTATAAAGAAAACATGGCTAGAAATGGTTTTGAAAAACATAAGAGAAGAATCTTTTCTCTTCTTGTCACATAATACACAAAGCAGGAATATAGCGGTATAGTGGATGTTAGTGTCTTCTTTAGTAACCACTAATGATGGGTCACTGAGCTCACTATGTGTTCCACTGGACTAAAGAGAAGAGTCCAAGTTATTCAACCTCAATCTTTGTACGGCACGAAACCTAGTCTGGCCAAGAGAAAAATCACCTCATTTGTGAATTTTATATCATCACAGACAAGACAAATCATAAACAAATTTAAATTTAGAAAGTCAGCAGCAGTTTCCGCTTATAGAAAGAAATTGGGCAGCATTAGACTGATGAAGATGGGAAGGGGAGGAAAGCATAGTGAAAGCAAAATATAGCTTTCTAAAGCCCTAAATGAACGCAAAAATTTAGGTTAAAAAACAACAACAACAACAACATATTATATTTTCCCCCCAAAATTTAACTTACCTCAAAGTAATCACTAATTTTATGTCCCCTAGGAGTGCCTTTCCCTGAAAATGAAACCAAAGTAAGTATAGTTTTTCCAATAACACATAACATAAATTATCAATCACTGAAATATACTATGTACTTAATAACTGCATAAACTGTTATCAATGCAAGTGCTGGCTTTACTTTTAACAACTGAGCCAAAATACCTATATCATAAGAACAGGGAGCTTCCTCCATATAAAGAGAGACTAAGCAGTGAAAGACTATTTCACAACTTGCTTCCCTTTAAGATTTGTTAAACTGTCTTTATAAATAAACTTTTATGCCACAATTGCAAATCCAAATAAAAGTAATCTATAATCCATACCCCCAACTAGGAGTACAAAGAATTGCCCTGGCCGGTTTGCCTCAACGGTTAGAGCGTCGGCCTGTGGTCCAGAGAGACCCGGGTTCGGTTCCCGCTAAGGGCACGTACCTCGGTTGCAGTTTGCCCCTGGCCCTGGTTGGTCGTGCAGGTGGCAGCCACTCGATGTGTCCCTTTCATGTTGATGTCTCTCTCTCTCTCTCTCTCTCTCTCTCTCTCTCTCTCTCTCTCTCTCCCTCCCTCTCCCTCCCACTCTATCTGAACAAAAAATGGAAAAATGTCCTCGGGTGAGGATAAAAAAAAAAAAAAGAATTAGCCCAGCCAATGATGCTCACTGGTTGAGCATTGACCCATGCACCAAGAGGTCACCAGTTCTATTCCCAGTCAGGGCACATGCCCAGGTTGTGGGCCCGATTCCCAGTGGGAGGCATGCAGGAGGCAGCCAATCGATGTTCTCTCTCACTGATGTTTCTAAATCTCTCTCCTTCTCCCTTCCTCTCTCTCTAAAAATCAATAAAGAGAAGGAAAAAAAAAAGAGAGAGCAAAGAATTCAAAACAAACTCATTAGAAGTAAAGGGTTTATTCTATTTCACAAAACACTTTATGTGACAATGTCACTTTGGGAGAATTCCCCTGCCACCACCCCAAAAATAAAAATTCTGCAGATAAAAAAAAAAAAACAGAAAAATTCGAAATAGACTGGGATTTCCATTTCGGGAGGTGGGGTGGCAGGGGGTAGAGGGGGGTTGTTAAACAATTTTATTCTTTATATAAAGATGTTTGCCATTAGAGCTGTCATATCTATACATTTATTTATTCCACTGGGCGCCAATGTTCAACTAAATAATTGACATGGAAAAAAAGTAGATGGAAAAGGCAGCCAGGTAAATAAAACCATTCCTGGTCACCTATTATTAACAAATCATTGATCTAATGCATAAAGTTCCAGTGTAACCTTTTTCCTGTACAATATATGCTTGGACTGAAGAAAAAAAACCTGTGGTGAGATCATTAACTTACAACAGGAAAAACATGAGTCCCCAAAGAATTGACACTGTTTTGTCAAGTGTATATCAAGTGGCAAGTCTACAATAAACATCATGATATTCCCTTAAGGTACGCACATCTCCTTTGTTAGTAAGCCCTGTATACAGGAATTAGTACAAATCCCTGTATATAAACTAATTATCTAGTGTGAGTTGGAAAATTCTATTTAAGTACATAATAGTTTATTATTTTCATTGGTGTGAAATTATTACTACCTTGGCTAGTTTCATATGGTTCGGCTTTTCTTTTCCGGTTTCGCTGGTCATTCTGTTTTTTCTCAGGAGTCTGTTAAATACCATATAAATCACAGTTAGCATTTTGTCAAATTTTTCACATGAAACTTAGAGAGTATATACAAAATATCAAATTTATAAGGAGATTTAACTGGTACAGACAAGTCCTAAATCAGTGTCCTATTCTTAAAGTAGGGTCATGGAAAGAGTACAAGGTCTGGCCCTGGCCGGTTTGGCTCAGCAGTTGGAGCATCAGCCTATGGTACAGAGAGACCTGGGTTCGGTTCCCGCTAAGGGCATGTACCTCAGTTGCAGTTTGTCCCCGGCCCTGGTTGGTCGTACGGGTGGCAGCCACTTGATATGTCCCTTTCACATCGATGTCTCTCTCTCTCTCTTCCTCTCTCTCCCTCCTGCTCTATTTGAACAACAACAACAAAAAGAGTACAAGGTCTGGAACCAAACCATCTCTACAATTTTTGGCAAACTGCTTAAAATATCAGAGCTTCTATTTACTCATCTATAAATCAAGGGTTGCTACAAAGCCTAAAGAAGATATTTTATAAAGCACAAATGTACTACAAATATCTAGCACACAGAAATAACCTAATGGCTGTTATCTACTGTATAACAGCTTAAATCCAATTCTTTTTCCAAAAAGGAAAGATCTACATAATCAATCAACTGGCTCTAATTTATTGAAAGTTGTACTGAAATGCAAAATAGGTGGTTGCAGACTTGGGCCCATATCCATGCAGCTGGGTTTTTGCCTTAAAAAAATCCTTCAAACTCTATTACTAAAGTTGGCCAGGCTACACTGCTCTACTGACCCACACATGTGAAGTACTAACAAGTATTAAAATTCAAGGGCACCGAAGCTAATTCAGCTACAACTGCCAATGTTTGCCATTTATTGATGGCAATTAAGAAAAAAAAAATTTTAAATACAGACACAGGAGATGGAGGAGGGTACAAGAGGGATAAATGGAGAAGGAAGGAGACTTGACTTGGGGTGGTGAACAGACAATATAGTGTACAGAAGATGTGTTGTGAAATTGTGCACCTGAAACCTGTATAATTTTGTTACAGTGTCACCCCAATAAATTCAATAAAAAGAAAAAAAATACAGACACAAAGAGCGCACAACTCAAACAGTGCAGACCCTAACAGCACCCCTGAAGTTATATTATCTTTTATCACAGACTGAAACTATGGAAATATGAAAAGTCTTGCAACAGATGTGGCTTCTTACCTCTACTTCTTTATCACTTAAGGACCCCACACTGCACAAGCTCTGGTTTGAAGACTCGCTATTGAGTGGCCCCTGGAAAGACAATAAAATGAATTAAAAGAAATTAATTTACAATAACAGCAAAAGTGAGGAAGAAGCCTATTGATTTTGATGTCTAAGTCACCTGACTTAGAAGCCAAATGGTAACTGCAATGTCTCCAAGCCAACCTGAAAAGATGTCAATCAACTATAATACCCTGTTAAAATCCTCTAGCTACTATTATTTTCATTTCCCTTACAAAACTGTGCTTATGTACAGATTTTTCCTTCAAGACTACATGCAATGAATTCATTCTTTAAGAAAGATAAGCAAAAGAAATCAATTTTCTCAGCCTTTTGTATCATACAGGTACTATTTGAAAGTTGAGATGTTAAGGAATATGTTTAAGGGTTCCTTATGAGGCAGTGGTCAGGGACCGTATTGAAGGAAATATGTTTCTGAGTCATGCTTTAAGGAGGCACGACTGCTAGCTCAAAAAAACCAAGTCACAACAGATTGACTTCTCAGAGCCTAATAGCTTAAGGAGCTCTGCTGGCCCACTCCTCAGTGAAACTGGTGAAAATTATAAAACAACAACTATTCAAAGCCTCTGAAAATGGTTCCTGAGGGGAAACAACAAATAAACACATATTTAATAAAAATCTATGAAAATTTAGTCTGAAAGGTGAAAAGTCTATGGTATGTGAAAAAAGACCACTCCCCACTCTATCTTAACAAGGCTCCAGACCACTGCAGCCAATGACACAGGACTCCCTCTTCCCTCAGCTCTTTCTCCAAGGGCTTTCTTCCTGGACAAAGACTTCTTCAGGATTACCATCCTGTCCCCAGCCTCCTTCTGCTAAAGCCAAGTCCCAGGCAACAAAGCGAGAGGAGGGGGTTCCCATCTGCCCAACCCTCACTTGTGGAACAGAAACTCTAATTTAGCATGGCACAATGAGAATACTGGGGCCCCAATAGCCCTTTCACCCAGCACAGGAGATGGTGGTTCCACACCAGCTGTGCACACACACCCCTATCCACATCCCCACACTCCTGGCCAGGGCTCAGCTCCTGGAGCAAGGAGGTCACTCACAGAAAAGTGTTCACCACCATCCCAACCCGTAGCTCTAGAACCCTGGCTCAAATATTTGCCCTAGGGGGGAAAGCAGGAACTCCTAATACCAAACCTCTTTCCAAAGGACCTGACTTAATTCCCAAGAGTGTAGACAAGTTTAAGTCTAAGAGTGTTCTCAATAATATGGTGGTTGTGGTAAAAGGTGACTGGAAGGAGATTTATGTATGTACAGTAAACCCTCGATTTTGCGGACCTCGGACTTCGGATTTAACAGACCATCTTTCTAACCCATGAGTCATATGTGAAAATTAATACCCAGTTAATTTTAAAATGCTTTTAACCAAGAGCAAAGCATTAATTAAATGCTTTTAATTAATTTGCTTATAATTAAATTAACAGGTTAGCCCTGGCCAGTTTGGCTCAGCAGTTAGAGCATCGGCCCTCAGACCAAAGAGTCGTGGGTTTGATTCCAGTCAAGGGCAGGTACCTCAGTTGCAGTTCAGTCCCTAGTCCTGGTCGGGGTCATGCGGGAGGCAACCAATCAATGTGTCTCTCTCACATCGATGTTTCTCTCTCTACCCTTCCCTCCTACTCTATCCCTCTTTCTCACCCACTCTGTCTGAAGATAAATAGAAAGGTATGCTCAGGTGAGGATTGAAAAAAAAAATTAATAGGCTATTCTTTTGTTATTAATTCACTGTTATTTTTAACAAATTTTAGCAAATAGGCGATAGGTTGGAATACACTGTACTAATTTTGCCAACATAAATAAATATTACATATCTACAACTAGAGTCTACACATTTAAATCCAAGAGGCACCACTCATAAACTATGTTCGGCGAATGATTAGCACATGATCACACCACTTGGTGCATGGTGATTGATTGTTTTCATGTAGCCTGACTTTCTGCAGCAGTTTTAACACATGCATGCCCCAGCTGTGTGCATTTATTTACTCGAGGTGCCTGGTGAATACATATGCATTTACTAGACCTATTTAGTATAAATTTAAAATTACTGTAATACATATAGAAAACTCTTCAGTGAAATTAAATTTTTCACATGTACTTAAATTTAATTACACAAATGTGTCTACATAAGTAAAAACAGTAACTAGTTTGTCAATTTTTAACATAGGTATTCAGAAAACCTACTTTATTATATAATGGATTTTTGGCTTTAAAAGATACCCCCTCACCCAAATTACTTTATTATATCAAGATTTTACAAGATACAGCCTAGACTGCAGGCTAGATAGTTTGCAGGAGACAACTAGGGATAAGACTTCTGGGAGGAGTTCTTTTGGGGCCAGAACACATAGCACTGACCTAAAAAACTCTCCCTTCCTTGATGGATCCCCGATTTGACTAGATTAGTTTGAAAAGGAATTTATGGCTCAGGGTATTGTTGAAAACAATAGAGTAATATGGGCAATTAGTGGAGCTGAACAGCTGGGTTGGTCAGGGAAGGAAAGCCCTACCAATACCAGTCATCCGAGTATGACTACAGGCATACCTACAGCTGTGCCTCCCTGAGGAACACCACCAGAGGCTTATGGCTGGGGAGCTGGGGCAGTACAATAGACTTCACTAAAATAATTCAGCCAGTTACTAAACAAATAAACAAGCAAATAACAATAACAAGCCCCAAGAGAGTTGCGGCAATGTATTATTTAAGATGACCAATTTTCAGCCCTGGCCGGTTTGGCTCAGTGGTTGGAGCACTGGCCCATGAACCAGAGAGTCCTGGGTTTTGTTCCTGCTAAGTGCATGTACCTCAGTTGCAGTTTGTCCCTGGCCCTGGTTGGGGTCATGTGGGTGGCAACCAGTTGATGTGTCTCTCTCACATTGGTGTTTCTCTCTCTCTCTTCCTCCCTTCTCTCCCTGCTGCTCTATCTGAAGATAAATGCAAAAAATGTCCTCAAGTGAGGATAAAAAGAAAAAATGAAAGCAAAAGAAAGACCTCAGGTAAACAAAAAAGGGACTTCCTCAACCTGATAAAGAGCATTTAATAGCCTTGGCTAGTGTGGTTCAGTGGTTAGAGCATTGGGTTCTATTACCGGTCAAGGGTACATACCCAGGTTAAAGATTTGATCCTGGGCCCCAGTCAGGGTGAGTGCAGAAGACAACCAATTGATGTGAGACATCCAAGCAATTACACACAAGAAAGAGAGAGAGAGAGAGAGAGAGAGAGAGAGAGAGAGGGAGGGAGAGAAAGAGAGAAAAGGGAAGGAGGGAGGGAGGGAAGAAGGAAGGAAGGAAATACAAGGTATTTAGATTGGAAAGATAGAAGTACAATTATCCCAATTCACAGATGACATGATCTTGTATATAGAAAATCCCAAGGGATCCACTAAAATACTAATAGAACTAATAAATTAGTTCAGCAAGGTGCAGGATATCAAATCAATTTTATTTCTATAAATCTGCAATGACCAATCTGAAAGTGAAGTTTAAAAAAAAACATTCCATTCACATTGACATCAAAAAGAATAAATACTTAGGAATAAACAAAAGGAGTACAAAATGTATACTCTAAAAAATTTGTTTCAAGAAAGTAAAGACCTGAATAAATGAAAAAAAAACAAAAAAAAAAACACCCCATGTTCTTGGATCAGAAGAGTTGTTATTAAGATTGCAATACTCTCCTTGCTCCTTTATAAATTCCATAGAATCTCTACTAGAATTCATTCTTTGTAGAAACTGACAAGCTGATTCTAAAATTCACATGAAATTACAAGGGACTAGAATAGGCAAAATGATTCTGAAAAAGTACAAAGTAGGAGGACTCACATTTTCTGACTTTAAGATTAATCACAAAGCAACAGTAATCAAAACAGTATAGTACTAGGAAAACAACAGATCTACAGTCAAATAATTACTGACATAGGTGCCAAGACCATTCAATAAAGGAAAGAACAGTCGTTTTAATAAATAGTGCTAGAGCCCTGGCCGGTTTGGCTCAGCAGTTAGAGCGTCGGCCTGCGGTCGGGAGAGACCCGGTTCGGTTCCTGCTAAGGGTATGTACCTCGGTTGCAGTTTGTCCCCGGCCCTGGTTGGTTCGTGAGGGTGGCAACCACTCAATATGTCCCTTTCACATAGATGTTTCTCTCTCTCTCTCTCTCCCCCTCACACTCTATCTGAACAAAATATCAGAAAGTGTCCTCGGGTGAGGATTGAAAGAAAATAATAATAATAAATAAATAAATAAATAAATAAATAAATAAATAAAGCTAGAGCCCAGCTGGTGTGGCTCAGTGGATTGAGCATCGTCCCATAGACTGAGAGGTCCCGGTTTGATTACCAGTCAAGGCACATGCCCAGTTTGTGGGCTCGATCACCAGTAGGGGCCATGCAGGAAGCAGCTGATTGATGTTTCTCTCTCACATCAATGTTTCTAGATTTCTCTCCCTACCTCTCTAAAAAAAACAACAACAACAAAAAATCAATAAAAAGTATTTAAAAATAAGCAAATAAATAGTGCTGGATACATTCAATATATATCCAAAATTTGACCTGTTGCAGTTTGACAGCATGATCATACAACTCTAAGGTACACTGCACTCCTTTGAATATAGGTATGTATTTTTCCTTTGAACTAAAATGTATAAAACTTCATACAATATAAAATATTTTGCATGGAGAGACAGATAAAACCATTCATGATATTAGGTGTTCAGAGTCAATACCTTTAAAAGGATACTTTTAAGGACCATTATTGCCCTTGATCAAAGGAACTAGGTCTTTTATGACACTGTGTGGATCATAAGAAATAATGAGTCATGTAATGATGTACATAAAATTTTTTAAAATACAATTAATGGATTTGATTCTACTGATATTAGAGGAAATTCTTTCCCCACACATGTGCCTACATTACCTATATCCACAAACATCCAAATAATAAAGTTGAAAATGGTTCCATAATTGCTAACAAAAATAAATAAATAACTAGTGCTGGGACAACTGTATAACCA